TTAATTAATTTTAAGGGCAAAAATAAGAAATAAGAAAAATTAAAATAAAAAAACTAATATAGCCGGGTTATACAGTTTTTTCAAAATTGATTTTTTGAACTCAATAAACCAATTAAAAATACTAGTTTACCAAACACCAAAATTAACTGGTTTAGTGATCAAACAGCTAAAAGTCCTTTAAGTATATTAATAAACATTGATTCTATCAAATAATCAATAAAAATAAATAATTAAAAATAATTTTTATATTTAAATTGCACCTTCTTAATGTATATATGTATAAAAATTTATTAAAAATTAATATTATACTCTTATTATAAATTTTTTATATATATATATTAAAATAAAAATATAAAACATATACATATATTATATTATATAACATAAATATATATATATATATATATTGGCCTATATTCATATAATAGGCAATCAAATTCAACGGAAAAAAAAAAAAATCAAAATTATTAAAAATTCCTGATCAATAAAATCTTTTACCAAATCAAACTTTGTTAAAAAAAGATCAAAACCCCTGCAACTTCTTATTTTACATTGTGGTGGGGGCCAAAATCGGTTCAAATATATATACTCCTCCGTCCCGAAAATAAGTATCTATTTGTTTTTTGCACGTAGTTTTAGAAATATTAGTATTATATTGGGATATAGTAGGAATAAAGTAGAAATGACTAAAATGACCTTGTTAGTATGTGTGATATAAAAGTAATGACATTTGTGTAATATATTGTAAGTTGCAAGGGTATTTGTAATGTTAGGTAGATAGTACAATTACTAAAAAAAGAAAACAGATACTTTGTTATGGGACGGACTAAAATGGAAAAATGGATACTTTGTTTTGAGAGGGGAGTATAAAATATAAGATAACATAATGTTATTTTTATTTATTTCACTACGACTCAATATAATACCCATATTAAAAAATTTATATGCAAAAAGTAAATGTCATTCTTTCGATAGAACGAAGAGATTATTTTAAAATCTCGGTATTATATTTTCATATTTGTCATTTTATTATTCACAAATAATCCTATAAAAGAATTTTTAATCCAAAAAAATCAGCAGCAACACAAATAATATTCTTCATTTTTTATTTATTTATCCTCTATTAATACATATTGTTATAGGCATTTTCGACTGAGATTTTATTTATTTATCCTCTATTTATACATATAACATGTTATAGGCATTTTTCACTGAGACGTACATCTATTATCTTACAAAGAACTTTAATTTGCATCTACTAACATACAAAAATTTAATATGTATCACGACTATTTGATTATATCTACAAAAATAAAATAAAATTTTAAAATATTCAAAAGGCTAACAAAATAATTGAGAAAATACACCGAGCAAAAATATATTCGAGGAATCAAGAAATAATTTTGAAAAATTCCACCAAGTATAATACAAAACTACAATATAATAAAAAATTATTTAACTAATCACCAGAAAACACTAATAGCCAATCAACAAATTTCTTTTTTTTACCATATTAACATCCATATTTTCACAATGAAAAATAATACTCCCTCCATTCCTCATCTATCCATTCTTTATCTATCTATTCGTTAGCTTTTTGAATGAAGTTTAGAAATATTTGTATTATATTGGAGTGTTGTATGAATACAGTAGAAAAGACTAAAATAATCTTATTAGTATTGTGTGATATAAAGACAATGATATTTGTGTAATATATTTTAAGTTGTAAGAATATTTTTAATGTTAGTAGAAAATACAGTTACTAAAAAACGAAATTGATACTTTATTATAGGACGGACAAAAATAAAAAAATAGATAAACTATTAAAGGACGGAGAGAATATAAAAAAAAAAAAAAAAAAAGAGAAAGGTTTAACCTTTTACCTACATATTGAGTTCCTACCAAAATCGAACCATTATTTTCTTTAATTTTGCAGTTGGTTATCTCTTCCAGACTTTTGTAATACTTTTGTGAATTTATATCTTGAAAACCAAATTAGCTTTATGAAATATTACATCGTTACAAAAAAAAAAAAAAAAAAAAAATCACTACCAGAAATATACAACAATACCGCAGAATGAACTATAGTGGAATTAATAGGTGTCTACATCAATTTTAATGAATTGCTATGGAAATGTCACCGAATTCTTTCTGCGCATCCTTCATGGGTATTTGGTATTGTTGCGGAACACCACAATAAATTTTTGCGGAATTCCGCAACAATTTGTCATGGTCTTCCGCGATACTTGTTGCACAAATTGTTATGGAAATTGTAGCGGTCTATATATCAATTTTATTATTACATTGTGGTGATCTTCTGCTACATTGGAACCAATTTTTTTAAAATTAAGTTTTATTTAATTTTATTTTTAAATAATAAAATTTATTATTCATATAATCATATTTTAATTTCAAAATTAAATTTAATTATATTTTAAATAAATAAAATACAATTAAATTTAAATTAATATTAATGTAAAAAATTATATCGGAGTAAAACATATATACAAAAACTAATAATATTTTGTAGGTAAAGTAGTATCATCGTCATCATCTTTTTTGTTGCCATAATAGTGTTCATTTCTACTCGCTTGATCAGTCCGACTCCCATTTCCATTTTCCTCTCGACGCATCTGATAATGATCAAATAGATTAGCCATTTTTGATATTTTGGTATAACATAGCTCTAGTTCATTAGGAATAAAATTATTAAACTTCAAAAAATTTGATAATGAAAAATTTTTTATCACCTATTAAAAAAATTAAAAGAAATTATAATTTGAGAATAAAATACATTAATAATATTTTTAAATAATAATAATAAGAAGAAAGACAAAAACAAACCTCGTTCAGTCTTTCATTAGTTGAATACAATTGTTCTTTAGTTTTCAAATTTTCCACCGTTGAAACACTTGATAAGAAATAGATATGATATGTTGTGAACAAAAAGGACAAAGATGAACATTGCTATTTTACTTCTTGAACCAAGCTCTGGGATATGATCTTTTATGTTAAAACCATCAAATGCATTAACAAGTTTTTTTTTTTTTTTTTCAATCCTGATCGGAAATAGAATTACTTTCAAAATATTTTTTTTAGCTTCTCCTTAAAATAAAAAATTTAAAAATTCAGTATTCAATATGAAAATATATATATTATAAGAAAATTATATCCCAAGAGTTGCAATATTTTGAATAAGTATTTCATTTTTTTTTTACTAAAAAAACCGGTAATAAAGTTTCATTTATGTCGGTGTGCGTCATAATTCGTCGGTCTGCAAGATAAATATAATTAAATTTTTGTCAAATATATATAAAATATGCAACTTATATTATTAAACTACATGAAATTAAATATAACCATGCTCTTTTGAACACGGCCAACAAATGAGCACTCTTACAATATTGATTTGCAATTGCTACCGAAATTTTTTTTTCTATTTTCTTATTTCGAGCTACCATTTCCTGATATTCCTTAGAACCCCACTGCTCTTTTATTTTATCTAATTTTCAAATTTAATCCATTTTGGACCTATATTATTTTTTTTGTGTGTAGCCTAAATTTTGCCTTAATAACTTCTTACTTTATTAAAAAATAAATAACAAATCTCAAATTCATACTAAGATTTCCATTTATAATGTTGTTGAAATTTAATAGTTAGAATAATTCCAATAGTAAAATAGTTAATTGAACGAAGTCAATATTAGATATACCTTAAATATTTCAAATCATGTGTTTCTTTGGCTATGGATAACTCGCTCCATATATATCCATGTTTTAAAAAAATTTGATCGAAATATATTTTATATATTATCAATCAAATCTAGAACCGAACTATAAAATAAAACATATTTGCATCTTGTTAGAATTTAAATTTTAAAAATATAATTATTGTATTGAAGAGATGACGATGGATGTAATAAACTTAAAACTCACTAAAAATTATCAGGAGTAATTCATGTCCTATTAACAATAACTCCACAGTATTTTGATTTTCTTCACCAATATTACTCGTGTTTCCACCTCCTATAGATGATGACGGAAATAATAAAGGTCATCCATATTTAGAATCTATGCCCTACAATACAAAAACTAACAGTAGGTTATGTTTTGAGAACAAACAAACTATAATATATATATATATATATACCAAATACCAACCCACCCAACAAGCCAACAATATATTAGATTGATATTCATCTACTATGAGTTATTCTAAATTACATGAAATAGTCAAAGGATATCAATTAGATCACAGTCCATGTAGTTGTGTAGTAACACCAAGATTCGGTAAATTTCTAGCATTATAGTAAAATTGTAAAATTTTCAGTTCTTGTCCTGAGTACACCTAAACTAAAAATTGATCAAGAATTTCCCTATAATAAATTACAACAACTCCATACTAAGCCTCAATAGCACAACGAGTTGTGCAAAGATGGTTTAAAAGGGTTAATATCCGATGTCAAAACAGAATTGATTAATTGACAAACAAACACCTAATTACTCTAAACGATGTACCGTACAACAATTAATTGACAAGCTTTAATAAGGAAAATAGATTAACAATTCATATAAAAGAATCTGGGGAAAAGACAAAGCTGAAGACGTGTAAAATCGTGATTATAGTGCATATCAAGATACAGGGAGCAAGTCTGCTTACAGATCAACTTGAGTTAGTCTACAAATTTTGCATAAGAAAATGCATGGAGGAATAGGTACAACGTTCTCTGTGGGTTTCTCACAAATTAACAAAATTAGGGAACCCAATGTGTAAAAAAAAGGTTTCAACCACAAAACATGGCTTTGCGAAACAAAGAAGCAGCAACAACAACCGAATCATCAAATGAAGACTTTACAAAAATGAATAATTTAGAATACGAAATCAAAATTTCAATCCAAGAAGGTAAAACAAACGGAATCTTTGAGGCACAAGAAAACGAGAGTATATCACAAGCGAAATTAAAAATCCAAGAATGAGAACCTAGAGATAATTGAGAAGAACAGGAAGATCACAAACAAATTCCAAATTCACAAACACAAACACAAACTCACAATATCTAGGAGTCACAGAAAGAATTGCGAGCGTCAGACGGAGACTTCAATCAACGGACGCAGTTGCTTGAATCGACAGACAGACGATTGGGCGATACATAGCCCTGTTAGATATGTCTGCTGCTAAGGCTCATATCACTTATAATTTCTGGGTAGCATCAAACTGATTTACCTACAATATTTATAAAATATGTGATATAATTACATGTTAATTACTTATAAAAGTGTTTCAATTTAAAGTAACTTAGAAAAAATATATACCGATTGCTTGAATCAAGATACATAGCATTCAAAAAGACATTTTGTCAGTGGCACCTTCATCTGTCCCGAAATATTGTAGGAGTCAATCACAGTAAAAAGTTCATCCAATATACAAAGTTAATTAATATCATAAAATTTCTCGAACTAAATTCAAATAAATAAATTAAATCAATACCGGTAGAATTTTTCTGCCTCAAAAGTATTTGTGAGAATGTAGGTCTCAATGATCTTGATTTCTTCTGCATTTATATACTCGCTTTTTGCCCCCACCCCCAGGCTACTCCGACATGATTGAAGATTTAAAAATTTGTTGATGAAAAGATTCTAGAATTCAGACTATGCTCAACATTCTTTTACGAAAATGACATCCCATATAATATTGCAAATTCCTCAACAACATATGTTGATCAAATGGAAGCCTCGACGTGTACCTTATTTGTGACTTTTTTCTTCAAGTCATGTAGGAATTTGCTTAGAAAAATAAAATAAAATAAATTACAAATTGAATTGAATTGAATTAATAGCCAAAATTCATAAACAATAAATTTACCTTTCAAAATGTTGCATCCAACGATGGTGTACAAGTCTAGCTAACATGCATTCCTTTGAAAAATAGATCATTAAATGTTCCATACTATTGAAGAATGTCAGACAAAATTTTTTTTCTAGCTTGCAGAGTACCAATAGTATGTTTTTGTGCAACTCTTTCAATTGCTCTGCGAATAAAGTAGAACTGCATATTATTTGAAAAAGAAAACTTATCACATTAATAGTCTCCCATACATAGTTTGGAAGAAAAGTTTGGAAAGTTATAGGGAATAGCCATTGCATGAAAATATGTGCATCGTGACTCTTCATCTTTATTAATTTCACTTGGGAACTATCCACGCAACGGTTAAGGTTGGACACAAACTGATCCAAAAACTTTATCTGGCAAATCCAATCACAAAGGAATCAACATTATGCTTGATTCAATGTATAAAAGGCCTTTGTACTATTACTATTTAGCTCGACAAAAAATTCAGGGTGATCATAAATAATAGACATGTCCTACCGAGCATTAAGGATGTCCTTCATTTTTCCCAAAATATCCATAATGGTGTGTATGATATTTTGAAAAATATCTTTCTCCATATGCATAATATTTAACTTATGGCGTGTTGAGATCTTTCGAATAAGGAAGATCTCATGAAATACATTGTTTTGTCCATTTATGGTGCTCCCCAAAGTATGCTCAGGAGAGTTTGAGTTGACTATTACTGAAAGCATTGTATGGCCATCGAGCCTTTCAGGAGCTACACTTTCCTGAGTTTTTTTCCTGATGGAACTTCGTCTATCTTGACGGAAGAAATGATTTTGCAGTAAGTAATGACGGTGACAATAAAAATAATATATTTTCCGCCCGTGGGTTAAGCAAAAGGCTGGATTGTCATTCATGCATACAGAACAACCTAGCATTCCCACTGTACTCTATCCTAAAACCATCCCATAGGAAGGGAAGTCGCCTACCATCCATAAGAGTGCAGTAGGCATCCAAAACTGATGTTTAGTATATACATTGTAGACAATATATACATATATCCAAAAATGCAACAACACTTCCACCAATTGCTGTAAATATACGTAAATCCACTTCTTTGGATTATGTGGTCCCTAAATAATCGTGGACAAAAACATATACTCCTTCCGCATACATGTTCTTGGTGGCAAGTTATATGGAGTAAGAATGACTGGTCAAAATCCTAATCAAATATTCTCTGAATCTTGTGAAAAATCGGGATATGTACAATCAAGACGTTTCCACGACTCTGCATCGGATGGATAGCTCATCAACCCAATTTTCCTTCGATGACGATAGTGTTGCATCATTGTTTTTTCCATCTCAACAAACTCATACAAGTTTTTTTGTCTTTCTTTTAGTGGAAGATATATATCATTTATGATACAACAACATTCTTCTGTCAGCTACCATGCTTCCAATTTGACCCTATTAGAATTTTGGTCATTCGAGGACTAATCCAACGAGTCTCTTGATAAATAATTAGTTGGCCCACTTTGTAACTCGGTCCACCGGATCGGCCCAACCCTTCAACCCAAACCCAAACTCCAAGCCCAAACTTTACTATACCCTAAGCCCAATCATTTTAGTTAGTCGGTTCTGTTTGGGGAAGTTATTATATGAGATATAGAATAGGGAGTTTGGGGGGTTTTTTGCGTTAGAGTAAAAAAACCGATCAGGGAGAATAGAGAGTGAGAGTGATACCGTCTAAGTGAGTGAGAGGGAGAAACCGGTGAATGTTCCGATGGAATTCTGGTGATTTTTTAGAGTATTCCAGTGAAGATATCGAGCAATTTCTTTATGTCGATTTCGATGGGTGTCGAGGCTTAGAGTGAGAGCCGACCTCCAACCTTGCGGCGTGGTTACCTCGGTTTATTGGCACCATGGACTGAGCCGAAAACAAACATCAGAATTTCCGGTCGGAGAAAGAACAAGAAATTAGGGATTGACGTTGCTATTCGAGGCTATTCGACGGAGTTGTTGTCGCCGGAGTTTTCCGTGGGTCTATCATCTGTCTGCTAATCGAGGAAGGAAGCGTGTGATATTTGAACCCGGTGATTGGGTGTGGGTGCACTTGCGCAAAGAATGTTTCCCGGGGCTGCGGTGTGGGAAACTTTCCCCGCATGGAGCTGGACCATATCGTGTATTGGAGCGCATTAACGACAATGCCTACCGCATTGCACTTCCGGAAGATTTTGGCGTGAACGCGACCTTCAATGTTGCCGTCTTGAGTCTATTTGATCATGCCGATGATATTTCTACTGTGGTGGAGCCTAGCCTTGAGGACAAAGCAGCCGAAGGGGGAGAGGATGACATGGTATCGGGTGACCCAAACCCGAATATCGGCGGACCAATCGCGACCCGTACCCGATCAAAGACATTACTTTGTTTAGAGGTTGTGAGCCGTTGATTTTTAGATTAGATGTATGGCGCAGATTAGATTAGGTCTTCTTAGGATATATTCCTTATATTCTACTTGAAAAACATATTTCATACAATTTTTCAGAGAGTAACTACCACTTGAAGAAGTTTCCTTCTTTTTGGAGAGATTCCAACCATCCATTGAAGTGATTCCAATCAACCGAAAGGATTAATTTTTTAGCCTTCGGAATGCAGCTTACGTGAGAGATGAAAGAAGCATTCACAAGCCTCAAACAGTTCGTGTAGATTCATGAAGGTGTTTGCTCGAGAGGAGTATTCGTCGATTGCTTCCAAATTATCCGCCGGTTCTTTTATTCAATTTCGTAGTTGATTCTTCTCTTAATTTGAGATTAGATATCATGGATTTGATCCTATCCATGTCACATATACTCCTTCCGCATACATGTTCTTGGTGGCAAGTTATATGGAGTAAGAATGACTGGTCAAAATCCTAATCAAATATTCTCTGAATCTTGTGAAAAATCGGGATATGTACAATCAAGACGTTTCCACGACTCTGCATCGGATGGATAGCTCATCAACCCAATTTTCCTTCGATGACGATAGTGTTGCATCATTGTTTTCTCCATCTCAACAAACTCATACAAGTTTTTTTGTCTTTCTTTTAGTGGAAGATATATATCATTTATGATACAACAACATTCTTCTGTCAGCTACCATGCTTCCAATTTGACCCTATTAGAATTTTGGTCATTCGAGGACTAATCCAACGAGTCTCTTGATAAATAATTAGTTGGCCCACTTTGTAACTCGGTCCACCGGATCGGCCCAACCCTTCGACCCAAACCCAAACTCCAAGCACAAACTTTACTATACCCTAAGCCCAATCATTTTAGTTAGTTGGTTATTTTTGGGGAAGTTATTAGATGAGATATAGAATAGGGAGTTTGGGGGGTTTTTTGCGTTAGAGTAAAAAAACCGATAAGGGAGAATAGAGAGTGAGAGTGATACCGTCTAAGTGAGTGAGAGGGAGAAGCCGGTGAATGTTCCGATGGAATTCCGGTGAGTTTTGAGAGTATTCCAGTGAGGATATCGAGCAATTTCTTTATGTTGATTTCGATGGGTGTCGAGGCTTAGAGTGAGAGCCGACCTCCAACCTTGTGGCGTGGTTACCTCGGTTTATTGGCACCATGGACTTAGCCGAAAACAACCATCACAATTTCCGGTCGGAGAAAGAACAAGAAATGAGGGATTGACGTTGCTATTCGAGGCTATTCGACGGAGTTGTCGTCGCCGGAGTTTTCCGTGGGTCTATCGTTTGTCTGCTGGAGAAGAAGAGAGCCACCGTCAATCTGATCGTTGCGGACAAATCAGAGCTGCTGTCCATCGCCATTCGAAGTACGGCGCTCTGTTCGTAGGAGCTGCCGGAGGGGATGACTGGAGACGAACAACATTGTCGCCAAGCTGCCTCAAGTCCGATGTCCGTCAATGGAACCACCGCGAGCTAAAATCATCCATCGATTTTTTCCCAAGTCAATTTGCCTCGGGGTGTGCGTGAAATTGTGAAAGAAGACACATGGAAGTGTTTGCTTTGATGAAATTCATTCCAAGTCCTGTTTGGATGTGTTTCAATGTCGATTTCTCAATTTGTATTTTTAGCCTTTGTTAAATTTTTTTAATTTATTTTTTATTTCTGTTAATATTATTTTGGGTTGTATTTGAATTTCGCTTCCGTTAATATTTTGTATAATTTTGTATACGAGGTATTGTTCGATAAATTCAAAAGATTTGGGATATAAATTCACAACAAACCCGCCATAGAATTTGCACTATTGTAAAGCCACATTATCTTTCCGAAATAGCATGCAACCTTGTGGACAACAATCTATTTTGATAGTGGATAACTCCAGTTTTTCTGTTACTTTCTTGATCCATAGGAATCGACAGGCATCTGATGACCTTCAATAAGTGCTCGCCTAAATAACTTGCATAAATCATCATATGTTGACTCTGATATGTTGTGATTGGCCTTAATGTGTATCAATTCCGTAACAATTCAATTGACAACGTTAGAAAAGTTAGAAAAGTATGGAGATTTCTTTTAGCAAGAAGTTTGTTTACCTTCCCCTTTTAGATAGTTGTGTTTCTTCACCACAATCAGTATAAAGTGGTTTGTGCTTAGAGCATATTGTTGAATCTACTTGTCATATCTATATCTCTGATTCTTTGTTTCCAATGGATGCCTTGAGGGGATCATTTCTCAAATTTGAAGGCCCTGGTCATTATCAGGTTAAATGTGTATACCTTTTCTAAAATCTTCCCTAGTTGGTATCTA